CCTGAGCAACTCTACCACTGAACTATATATACCCTCTCCCCTCAACAGCCAGTACTTTAGACATCTTAGCTTCACTTATATGCTACAGTATTAAAAGAGAAAACCAATTTTTGCATTTTTCATTAAAAGAATATATAAATTACCTATCATCATTTAAGAACTTTCTTAAAGATACAAACACACAGGAAACTGCATTCATTATAATTGTCAGAACCTATAGGTAACAATAAAATGTATGGTTACTGGTAAAGGATTCCTTTTGCATTAGAAAAAATGAGTATGTAAACCTTAGTTTATTAGATATAAATAAATACAAACCAAAATGATTATACAATAGAAACATAAAAAGTAGGAACTGGAAAGTATCAGGATTATCCTCTACTAATACTCATATTTCCTGCCAGGTAAGTCCCAATTCTTCAGAAAAAGAACATAGCTAGCAACTATAATACAGAAAACACTGCCAACACTTTCATACCACCTAAATGCCATGAAGCAGCAGAGTTCTATAACAAAAATATTGCTGAAAAAAAAACAAAGCAAAATACGAAAAGACAGATGATAGGAACAAACCACTAACACGGAAGGTTTCACATCTCAAACAATATAAAATGCTAATATTTATCAGAAATATATGTGAGAAAATTGCGTAAAGATAAGAATACATAGTTAAACAAAAACAAAACCAAAATCTGATCAGTATCTGACTCTTTTGGAAGATGAGTTTCATAGAGGTACAAATGAGATTTTTTTAAGATAGCAGCATGAGTGATACAAGGAAAATGAAGTTTATCTAAATGAAAGGTAAAGAATAAAATGCTATCAAGCAAGAAAATCTACTGGGTAATGAATAAATGGTTTTATAGATTAGCTAATTTGAATAGTTAGGAAAAGATAAAAGGTTTATGAACAGATTATACTAAGAAATAAAGTGTACTTTTAAAAACAAAATTCAGGGAGGTAATCAAATTAAAATGGCAAATGCTACGATTTCTCAATTATTTAAGAAGTAAATAGATGACTTGTTCAAAATATTCTTTTCTTTAGAGAAATATTAGTCAATAATCATAACTTCCTTAGAGTTATCCTATTAAAGGTTAGGGAAAAAAAGGTTTTATCAATTCACTTTTTTTTCCCTTTAAAGTTGAAGTATAGTTGACTTACAATGTTGTGTTAGTTTCAGGTATACAGCAAAGTGACTCAGTTACACACATACACATGTTCTTTTCCATTATAGGTTATTACAAGATATTGAATATAGTTCCCTGTGTTTACACAGTAGGTCCTTGTTATTTATCTATTTTATAAAAAGCAGTGTGTATCTGTCAATCCCAAACCCCTAATTTATCCCTACCCTCTACCCTTTCCCCAATTCACTTTAAATACAGTAAATCTGAGGGTTATGGCCAGGAAAAACAGTATTCAACCAAGCTTCACGGGCAAATACAGTAGAAATTCATTACCTAAAAGCCCAATGATTTCATATATATACTAGAATAAATATAAACATGAGAAGACAAGTGATATTTACCTCATTATGTGAGGTACATTGGTTTTTAAAAAATCGAATCTAATTGACTGTGTCATTAAATGTGAAGAGGAATTAGGCATTATTTAATCTTTCTATATCTCTGTCTCTGCCCATGCAAATGAACTATTTTGACTGTCAGCCTAAGTACAATCTAGCTGACAGCTTAGAGCAGGAAAGCTGAGCATAAACCTGTGACATAAAATCATATTATCTTAAGAGATGTGAACTGTCATCGACTGGTTCAAATAAAAGAGTCTGGAGAAAGGACAGAATTATGCTCATGACATAATTACATGCACTGACAGCAGAAGACCATTAATTAACCTACCTAATACATTCTAGAAGGGCCAGGGAAACTGGACAGAAATACTTTAAGTGGACAATTACAAAAGTCTCTCTAATGCATTTCCAGCAGAACCACTACTGAACAACATTTACTGACCCATGATACTGTATAAATGAAAACAGTAACATTTCTTTTAAAATACTGTATAATTCAGAGCAGTCCAAGTCACTGAGGTTTTATTGCTTCTATCGCTTACCAATTAATGTGTGGAAATTGTCACGACACTCTATTCTATTAACCTTAAAAGGAAAAAAAAAGGCATAATTTAATGACGGTTTTATTTTGGCAAAGAGGAGACAAAGGAGGAATACAGAATTCACATAACGATGACTGAGAACTAGCATAAATTGTTAATTTGGAATAATGGAAACATAACAATGAATTCCTATTAGACACTGTACTAATGATCACATACGTCACTTGTTTTAATCCTAGCAATACCACCAAGGTACTTTTATCTTGGTGTTATATGCCAGGTACTGTTAGGTACTACAGTTATCTCCATTGTACAGTCTGGAACATGAGATCAGATCAGCATAATAAGACTATAAGCTAGTAAAAGGAAAAGGCTGGTACTGAACTCAGGTTTACAAGGGTCCAGAATTCAGGCCCTGAGCCATAGCATATGGCTGCATCTCAGGTATTTTTATTATCAAAATGAGTTAGCACAGAAGAAATACATATATTTCAGAAGATGCAGTGAGAATCCCATTTTAACAGCTCACTGGAATATGGATTCAGATAGTCCACAAGCTGTGTCATGTCTTTTGTAATGCTTCAACTTCATGTAATACCTAGGGATCATTATCTCTGTGGAAGATTGGGCATATCGTCTGTGTCTTTTGATTTCTACAGTTCCTAAGCCTTGCATGTAACAGCTGATCAACAAACAGGAATGAGACTATAAAGATCCAACAACAAAGTGCTGGCATGTGTTTTAGCGCCAATCACCAGAATAATAAAGCTCACTACAATTATAAGCTCATGAGAGATGAGCAGAATCTTGACCACTCTCCTCAGTGTGTAACCTTAAGACCTGGAAGAATGCCTAACACATAACTAATAGGAGTTTAAGAAATACTTGTATGAAGAATTAATACATGGCATTACATTTTTTCTTTGTATTCATATAAACTATGCTGTCAGATTGTACAGCAAAAAATTCAATTATACATATATAAGTGTACATTTACTCTTTTGGCAATTTTAAAGTTAAAAGTAGCCTGGCAGTTATTCCAGTAAGGCTAGCTCTACAGGAAATATCCAGCTCCCTGTACTTGTATCCCAACCCTGCAGCTTCATGAGATCCTAA